GGTGGTGTATCCAGTATTTGTTCATTTTGATGAGACATTCTTCCGTTAGTGAATGCAAAAAAAAAGTAACAAAATGTAAAATCTATCTAAATGCATGATGCATGCAATGTTCGAGGCATTGATCCAAAAAATGTGTTTGTTATTATAAATAATCCTTATTTCGAACAAAAAGTGTTACGTCTTAGTAGACATAAAATATTTTAAAGGTATAGACCCCGAACAACTTCAAACTGATTGATTTATCTTCATCCTTTTTCTATCGGTGGTTGAATGCCTTGTCGAATTGTTCCAGTTTCTCTGGCTAAACTGTGCAAAGGACGAGCTGTTTGCCCCAAAAAATATCGAATGACTGCATCTTCGGCTTTCACTCTCTGCTGAGTCTGTTCCTAACGAAAGCGTCATTAGAACCCTCTATCGATAGGAACCCTTATTTATTGATTTTGTCAAAAATGGCTTGTTGTCTTTGAAGGGACTCTCTAAGTCAATTTTTCTCGTCTTGCCCCTACAACCTTTGCCAGCTCAAAAAAGTCGACTTTTGATGTGCACAGTGTAAATCTCAGACCATTTTGAACCAGACTTTTTGCTTTTCACCTCTTGTATTATAACCCCTTTGTCCATTAATACAAATTATTTATGTTTAACGAACACATTTTTTGTGGATCAACACCCCTTTTGAATGAATGATGCAAAAGATGAAAAATAAATAAAAGAGAACAAAAATGAAAAGAGTTAGTGAGGTAAAGATAAAAAACAAACATGAAAATAAAAGTCCTATCCCACATGCTTATTATTTCTACCCGGACATGATCTTTATCCCACAAGTTGATTTTAAACAAGTCCTAACCGCATAAATTTCTAGTTCACATGCTTTGAACATTAAATAAAGCAGGAAATAATATCAAAACAACCTAGGGTTTGAAATGAGGTTTTGGGGTGGGTTCTAATTCCCTATAATCTCCCGGTTTAGGTTCTAAAAAGGTACCCGAGTTCTCCTTGCTGGTGTCCCCTTGGGTTTTCCAGATCCTTAGTCCTAAGTCCATTACAAGCTTATGTGGACTAAGTTAAACTCGAGAGGATACATTCCCTTATGCCCATATGAAGAATAAATTCACACGAAAGCGTAAGGTATATGAATCCCGAAGGTTACTTGCAGGCTCATACGGAGAATAAATTCTCACGAGAGCATCGCTTTCACTCCCATTTAAAAACAGTTTAGAGCTCAGGTTTAGAGCCTCATAGGAAAAATCTTTAAAGGCTGAAATCATTAAAAAACGGTCAGTACAACTATTTACTCGATAATATAATCAAAAGTAAGCAATAAGGATCGAAATGTTACCTTAAAATTTAAGCTTACCTTTTCATTAAAAAGATAACTGGAAATTACTTTAGCCTGACTCACTTACATGTGTCCCCAGCGGAGTTGCCAAGCATTCGAAATCGTCTTTCGGTTGAGCCCGAAATTGGGCTTCGACTTGGATTAAAAGAATTAGAGTCGCCACCGATCATTTATTTTAAAGCAAATGGGTTGATTGGATACCTTATTTCTTACCTGATCTGCGCCTTACCAAAGATGTGTCGGATTCGGAAGTCGATTACAGTCAAGGAATGGTTAACACCCTTGAACTTCCCTTTCGGTACTACGTAATTTCCATTTGTCTTTAATTAATAAAGTTGAAAGTTTAAATTAAAAATTAAAATAACGATCCAAATTACTTACCTTTGATTGATTGAAATACCCTTAAAAGATAAAAACGTTAGATTTGTAGTGAAATACATAGTCAAATTAGGACAGAAAGTGTGTAAATGTGAAAATAATAAACCAAAACAAGGAAAAAAGGAAAAATAATAATAAGTAAAAATAAAAACAATAAACATAATAAATAAAATGATAACATAAATAAAAAACGAAACAAAGTAATAAAAAATAAAAATAAAACAGCATAAAACTAAAATAAAACAAAGGATAAAATGATTAAATAAAAAGAAATAAGAATAAAACAAAACAAAAATAATAATAAAAAAAACAAAGAAAGTAATAATAATAATAATAATAATAATAAACCCAAAAAGGAAAAATAATAATAAATAAATAATAAAAGATAATTAGATATATATATACTAATAAGGGGACTAAAATGAAAAAGAAATTAAATTTGGGGTCAATTTGAAAAGGAATTCTAGTTTAAAATCAAATTTGGGGTTAAAATAAAAGTTTGTAAAACCGGAGGGACCAAAAACACGATTTACCCCTCTTTAAAGCAAAACACGCAGATCTAGCTTGAAACGGGTCGGGTCGATTGGCTCCACGGGTCGGTTAAATGGGTTGCATAAAAGCCAACATTGTTTCAAATTTGTTATTTCCCTTCATTTGCTATGATTCAAACCGAGAGACCCTTGTTTCCAGTTTTAGGCCACACGCTGCCTCCGCCGTTCATCGACGGCAAAATTTATTTTTAATTTTAAATTCAAAAGCTTTTTCAAACTCGTTTCCAAAAATCAAAGCGATTTTTATTAAAAAAAAGGTGCCTCGGGGGCTAGATATAGGTTTTAAAACCTCAAATCTTCCCCTAAAATTCATCTGCCAATTACCCTTTTTGGGTTTTATTCGAACCAAAAACGATGAGAAAAATAAACATCACCCACATACAAGCCAACCAATCGAAAAAAATGTAAGGTTTCTTACCTTTGTTGCCTTCAAAATTTTGCAAAATATTACTTGGATTACTCTGAATATTCGTGTAACTTTGCTCTTATATTTCTTGTATATCGAATCGTGTGTTTCTAATGGTGTTGATTACACTTATTTATAATATAGGATTTGTTATTTTTAGACTACATCTTTGATTCCTATTTGAGCTAAAACTCTTATACTTGTTGCTTGGTTGGTTGTGAATGAGTCCCCTTGGCTCACGTTTATTAAAGGCTGAGAAAATCGACGGTGAACTCGGTTGTTGGAGAAGTGACGTTGAACGTGAAGAAATTAGGGTTGTTTGAAGGCTGGTTCAGGTAGGGTTCCACTGAAATCGGGTCGAGGTTGCTGGCTTGGTTCTGTCCGCTCGGGTTAATTCTGGTCACGTGTGGGTTATGGCTGGTGTGGGCTAGCTGTTTTGTAAAGGGGTCGAATACATAGGTCTGCAATCATGTAATGAAACAAAAAAAATTATGATTTGTTTATAATATGTAATGTAATACTCATACATCATATATTATAAATAATTAACATGTAAATTAACATGCAAATGCCACATGGATGAAAATGAGTGTCTAAAATTTTCATTTAACAATTTTTAGAAAACAACTTCAATTCTTTTTTATAATTGTAAAAAAAACTCAAAAGAGGTAATTATATTAATTAACTATGTATAATTTGAGTTAGCAAATTAAATACAACATTAATATTAAGGTTTTGAATCGGTTTTTTCAGGGAAAAATAATATTTTATAAACTTATTTTCAAAAAAACATGGATGTGTTATCAGGATGTGTGATAATATCTTTTAATTTCACTAATTAATTATATTTAAATAATATAATTATTTAAAAAAACAATTTAAAGTCAAATCAACTTAAGATTCCATCTAAATGTACTCATAGTGTAACAGGTGGAGAAATCTAATAGCAATTAAATCAACAAGTACAAAATTTAAGCATTAAATATCTCTATTATCATCGGATTATCTTCCAAGATTTTAGCACCCGTTTCTTGACAGTAGGAAACGGTAAGCCAGTCCAAATTACTCTAAATAAATAAAGGAAAAACTATTCCAGATATCATTGAACTTTGAATGTTCACTCGTTTATACAATTAAACTCCTAATTTTTTTATCAATTATAGCATTGGATTTTGATCTTTGTTTTAATTATATCACTCCGTCGTTAAACCACGGATGGCACGGTGACATTATTGAAGTGGAAAATAAAATTCAATACCGTAATTGAGAAGATTGGAAGTTTAGTTATTGGATTGGTTAAAAATTTGAGTTCTAATTTAAAATTAGGATCATAGATTAGGAATGAATATATAACATTCAAAAAATTTAGGATCAATATAGAATAAGTCATAGTTTTGAGATGAAATTATAATTTTCAAACGTTTAAAGACCAATTTAAAATGAGTTGTAGTTTGAATATGTATAATACAATCAACTCTATAATTTAATATTAGGGTAAACTACTCATTTGGTACCTAAACTATCAGTTTAGGTCCATTATAGTATCTAAGCATTCATTTTTTAAAATTATACCTAATATATAATTTTCATTTCATTTTAGTATTCACCGTTAAAAATTTAACGCGTTTATTACCTAAATTATCAGTTTTGGTCTATTTTAGTACCTAAACTTTCAATCTATTCAAAACTTAACGTTAAGTTTTGGCTAAAATAGAACAAAAACTAAAGGCTTCAAAGCTGGGACTAAAATGAATCAGAAACTAAACTTTAAGTATAGTTTTAAAAAAATTAAAAGTTTAGATACTAAAACTGATAGTTTAAGTACTAAATACGTTATTTACCCTTAATATTATTAGTATATTAAATGTATTAAAATCTACGGTCTTGCTGGCTCCTGCAACACACTAGTTGCCGTGCATCATCATCACACGGCTAAGATTTCATCTTATCACCATCTTCTGATCAATCATCACACTATTCTGTCAGATTACGTACCGAAAGAAACGCACGTCGCTTCAGATTTTACTGCCAAAAGCATATTGTAGGTTGGCTTGGAATAATATATATATATATATACAATCATAAATGGCAAAATTACTGATACGATACCCAATTAGATTCCATTTATTATAATCAATAAACCCAGTTTTCACATTAAAGTCCTGACGAAAACCCAAAATATATTTTTACTGCAATGCAATCATCTTTAACCAGGTTAAGATTCTTTTACCATGGTTAGGTTAAATGCCGATTGTTCTTCTGTATTTAATCATTTCTCGTCGACCCTTTTGCTCTTGAGCTTCCAATTCTCATAGTAACCTTCTTTCTTATAATACGTTCTTATATAGTCTCTTTTAGCCGAAAGATTGTGTCTTCACTTGCGTGTGTGTTTCCGTTGAATGCCCTTTATAAAGGAAGTGTTCAAAATGTCTGTGGAGGTTGGTTTTCTGGTGTTTCGATCGCCATTGTGGAGCTTCGAAGCGTTTCTCTGGGCTTTTCTTCTGGTTGGAATCATTGCGTTTTGTTCTCCCGGTGGGATTGCATGGGCTCGGTTCAGGTCCAAGGCGAGTTTCGCTGTCCCCGGTCCTCTTGGCTACCCGTTCCTCGGGTTGCTCACCGTGTTCACCGGCTCCACTCCTCATCGATCCCTGGCTGAACTGGCGAAAACCCTTAATGCAGTGAAGCTGATGGCTTTCTCTGTGGGGTTCACCCGGTTCATCATTTCCAGTGACCCTGAGACCGCGAGGGATATTCTCAACAACTCGGCCTTTGCCGATAGGCCGGTGAAGGAGTCAGCCTATGAGCTTTTGTTTCACAGAGCAATGGGGTTCGCTCCTTACGGTGATTATTGGAGGAATCTGAGGCGAATCTCGGCCAACCATTTATTCAGCCCCAAGAGAATCGCTGGCTTTGAAGGGTTCAGGCGCGATATTGGTGCCAAAATGGCGAACGAGATAAAGTGTTCGATGGAGACAAGAGGCGAGGTTTTAATAAGGAAGGTGCTCCATTTCGGGTCGTTGAACACTGTAATGGCGACTGTCTTTGGCAAAAGATACGACTTCGAGAACCATGAGTTGGAAGGGCTAGAACTCGAGGAGCTTGTGAGTGAAGGGTACGAGTTGTTGGGGATATTCAATTGGAGCGACCATTTCCCTCTACTTAGCTGGCTTGATCTGCAAGGCGTGAGGAAAAGATGCAGGAATTTGGTTTCGAGGGTCAATGTTTTCGTCGGTAAGATCATCGAAGAACATGCACTAAAAAGGGTTAGTGGCGGCTATGGAGATGATGATCGCAGTAATGCAGCGGATTTTGTTGATGTATTGCTTGATTTGGAGAAACATGAAAAGCTCAACAAATCCGATATGATTGCTGTTTTGTGGGTCAGCCATTGATACTAATTCTATCTTCTTCAAGAATATAATGTTTTTGCTTTGTTTTAAGCTTTTGATTTTGTGTGCACAGGAGATGATATTCAGGGGGACTGATACAGTTGCAATCTTGCTGGAATGGATCTTAGCGGAGCTTGTTTTGAACCCAGAAATCCAAGCCAAAGCTCAGGCCGAGATCGATGCCGTCGTCGGAAAATCCAACCAGGTTTCCGATTCCGACATTCAAAACCTGCCTTACATTCAAGCCATCGTGAAGGAGACTCTTCGTGTCCACCCTCCGGGGCCACTTCTTTCATGGGCTCGCCTCGCCATCCACGACGTTCACGTCGGAGATCACTTCGTTCCTGCCGGAACGACGGCGATGGTTAACATGTGGGCGATCACTCATAACGAGAAACTCTGGCCGGACCCGGCAAACTTCAACCCCGAGCGGTTCATGGAAGAGGAAGTGAGTGTCATGGGGTCTGATCTTAGGTTGGCACCGTTCGGGTCCGGTCGTAGGCTTTGTCCCGGCAAAGCCATGGGTCTGGCGACGGTTCATCTATGGCTGGTTCAGTTACTTCAAGGCTTCGAATGGGTTGCCTGTGAAGATGGTGATGCGGCGGTGGACTTGACTGAGCATTTGAAGCTGTCCATGGAAATGAAGAAGCCTTTGGTTTGCAAGGCAATACCTAGGGTTCGTTGAAAACTGTCATCTTGTGCATGATGGCTTGGTGTTTGGAGTTTGCTTTCCATTTAGGGTTTCTTTCTATATTATCTTCTATTAGATGCTGCTTGGATTTTGTTTGTAGTTGGATGATGTAGATGAACTTGGCTTCGTACAATGTTTTCTCATAACTTCTTTTCTATTTTGGTAATATTATTTTATGTTTTCATCAACTTCAATGATTGGCAAGCTTCAGAATCATTTTCAATTTTTTTTATTAAGAGGACAATTTATGTTATAATCATTATAAATTAATAGTAAATTGTTGTAATTATATAATTAATTATATTTTTAAAATTTACATTATTTTAAAATATAACTTTACGTAAACTGTAGTTGTGTATTTATAATTTGTATTACAAATTTAGCATGCAAAATTAGAGAAATATTTATAATTACATGAAACTCACATGTATATTTTAAAAAATATATAATAATAATTTTATATACAACTAACATTTGCAATGTATGAGTGTACAAGCTAATATGGTTATAATATCTAAAGATATTGAGTTTGATCAAAATATTTGTAAGGACATTTAAGTATTCATTGTTAATTAATTTTTTTAACATATTTTATCTTATAATCATCATAAATTATTTAACAATACACATACATTATGTAAACACTTTTTAACGACAAAGACCGCTCAATAGAATCTCATGAGACCATATTAGAATGCTAAAAAAAACTACATATAAACTCATCAAGTGATCTCATTGATAAAAGGGAGGATTATTTTTCCTAGAGGCCTTGAATTTGAGCAATTATATCTGTAAAAAGTGTGTATACATTGTCAATAAATTAAGAATTGTTTTGAATATATACTAATAATTGTTCTAAACTATAAAAAATTTATGGGTAAATTACACGTTTAATATATAAACTATTAGTTTTGGCCTGTATTAACACCTAAACTTTTAATTTTTCAAAATCATACATAAAATTTAGTTTTTATTTCATTTCAGTATCTTGCCGTTAAAAACATTAGTTTTTGTTTCATTTTAGTACTTTAACGTTAGGTTTTGAAAAATTGAAAGTTTAGGTACTAAAATGGACCAAAACAGAAAATTTAGGTGTTAAACGTGTTAAGTTTTTAACAATGAGGGTACTATAATGAAATGAAAACTAAACGTTAGGTATGGTTTTGAAAAAATTAAAAATTTAGATACTAAAATTGATCAAAATTTATAGTTTAAATATTAAATGTGTAGTTTACCCACAAATTATGTAATTGTGTTCTCTACTACACTTAGGGATGGGCACAAACCCAACCCTAAAATTTTAGACCCTCCATCCAACCTAAAAAAATACACCATCCACCTGATCCGAACCCGTCTCGAAATAATAATAAAATATCATTTTTATTCAATAAAAATATATATTTAATTTAAAAAAATAATATATAGAGGGGTATTATTATAATTATCCCTAAATATATAAGGTAAAATTATATATTTTTTGTTCGGGTTGGATATTTTTCACCCTAAACCTAATCTCGAACCTGACCCGATCCGACACTGAATGTTTTTTAAGAAAAACCCATCCCGATCGGGTTGGGTCAAGTTGAAACCCGTCGAGTTCGGGTCTCATGCACATCTTTCACATTTTTTTAATGTATCATTTTAACTATAATGCTTGCTTAGTTAGGTCTTGGCCAAATCCATAAATAGCCTTTAATCATTTTTCCTTTTTGTGGGCCATTATAAAGTAAGCCCAATTTAGTTAAATGTATTGGGCTTTAGCGAGTGCATGCAGTGGCGAGGCCCACCAAATTTCCAGTGCAAGGGAGATTACGGTCTTTGTCTATTCAGCTCGCAACGGCCATTTGGCGATTATGCGTTTACTGCTCTAAGCTTCGTTGACTTTTTAACGAGCTTTACTGCCTGCGAGAGTGGAAAGGGAGCAGTCATGAATTACCCTCCCAGCACTCGTCGGAGCCGTAAAGCTCCGGCGAAATCTGACCTTTACTCGACTTTCGTCGTCCACTCTGGATCCGAATCTGAATCCGACTCCGGTTCCGGCAGATCCAAATCTAAACCGCAAGGTCCTCGTGAGTCGGACCTTTACGCCACAATGATTTACAAGGACGGCAACGAAGAAGATGAAGACGACCCCTCCCTCCCTCCTCTCTTCAGACGTCTCCCTAAAGACTTTGGCGGCGGTCCTACCGATTTCGACGTCGTCGACGATGACGATGCCGGAGATTTTGGAACCGTTATCGTGAAATCCGATCGCGGACGTAAAACTCGTGGTCAAGCGTCGTATTCGTTTAAACCACCGCAAGCGCCCGTGGCGAGCCCGATGAGGGCTAGGAGAGATGGACTTAACGTTGATGATGATGAAGAGGAGGAGGAAGAGGAGGAGGATGGAGATAGGGAAGATTTTGGGACGTTTGTGGTGAGATCGACGGTGAGGAGCGAGAGGGAAGGGAGTGGGACGGTGGTTAAGAGAGCGGTTGCGAGTATGGGAGAGCTAGGGTTTGGGAAACAAAAGAGCTCTACTTCGACTACGTCTTTGCAAGGGGAAGAGAATCGGTTCTTGCAAAATAGTAAGGCTTCCTTGAGTTCGATTCCAGATAGCGTTACTAGAGAAGATCCTTGCACTAAATATGAGTTGCTCAATGAGCTGGGTAAGTTTTTAATTGTACTAGTTTAAGACAACTGAGTGATGATTATCCTCATGCTCGTATGATTATCATGGAAATGCTAAGTGAACTATGTTTTGTCTTTTAATGACCGGGGATTCTTGATTTTAGGGCAAGTGCAAATGTTAACTGATATTGGAATTTTGGTGGCAGGGAAAGGTTCTTATGGGGCTGTTTACAAGGCTAGAGATATAAAAACTTCTGAGCTTGTTGCCATTAAAGTTCTATCTTTATCGGAAGGGGTATGTATGGTTTTCTTTTTTATATTTGATGTGGCTGGATAATCCTCTGTGAATATGCTATTAAGTTTGTTTATTTTCAGGAACAAGGGTATGAAGAAATTCGTGGTGAAATTGAGATGTTGCAGCAATGTAGCCATCCGAATGTTGTTCGGTACCTTGGGAGCTATCAAGGGGATGAATATCTTTGGGTTAGTGCAATAAGCATTTTTCTCCATCAAGATTTTATTTCCTGATTGTTTGGGCTGAGTTCAGTTTCTAGATTGTATTGATTTAATTTTACCTGTGTTGCATTTGCTTTTTTCCTGATATTTATGTTTTTTGGATAACTTATTTTCATTTTTGGGCAGATAGTAATGGAATACTGTGGAGGTGGAAGTGTTGCTGATTTAATTCATGTTACTGAGGAGCCTTTAGAGGAGTATCAGATAGCATATATATGTAGGGAAGCTTTAAAGGTATTATTAAGTCTATTTAGTTTGGAATGAAATAATACTCCGCAATGATGTTGATGCATTCTCTAATTTGTATCAACTTTCTAATTTAATATAATCTCTTTTTTTTTTCTGATGCAGGGCCTTGAATATTTGCACTCAATTTTCAAAGTTCATAGAGATATCAAAGGTGGTAATATCTTGTTAACTGAACAAGGAGAGGTCAAATTGGGTGAGTACACTTTGTGTAACTTTCTTTTTTCAAATTGAAGTCAATGGGAAATTAGGAAGTTAAAATTCTTTTTTGTTGTCTTTGATATGATCAGTAACTATTCAATTACTATTTTCTTGACAACTGCGCACTTTGCATGATAAAGAAGTTTCTATACGTTCTGTCCATAGCAAAAGGTGCCCTAGAAACAAATTTTACCTGCTATCCATTCTTTGTTTATTAGACAATACAGTAGAAACAACAAAAATGCATTAATATCCTTTTCCTAGAGATTATCAGTTTGACCTATGATTAATCTGCCGAAGACTTTGCTTTTATTAATTTGGATGATGCTTTTAATTTATAGAAAGATTGAAATGATAGTGCTTTTCTTTCTAATTGAATATTGAGCATAATCTTAGGCAGACAAATGTGATAAACATATGGGCCCCTAGAGAACAGTCCACTTTTTTAATTGAATTTGAATGGTAGGTCTTTAAAGACATGAGTATTGACTTGAGATGCCTTGAAGACGGTCAAGAAAATCTGAGACAAAAGTTGAGGGGAAATGGTTTATGGGAAAGCTGTTCCCATCTGGGCTTAATGTTTTACCTTTTCACCCTCTTTGACAACTTGCTGATCTGCAAATATGTTGTTATTTTGATCACTGAACAGGTGATTTTGGGGTAGCAGCACAGCTTACAAGGACCATGTCAAAGCGCAATACGGTATGTAGTTCTCTGTGTAGTTCACAATGTTTGCTAATGTTTCATTTCTTTTGAGCATTCTTTGGTTTATCTAAGCTAGCATATGTTCAGAAAAAAAGACTTAACTGAAATCAAAATCATCCTACACTTCCTTACCAATGTCAAAGTGATAAACTGAATTAATAATTTAAAAGGTTAGTTCTTGAGATATCATGTTAAATGCATGAAACAACAGATTATGCATAACAGGCATACCGAAAATTCCATAACTTCCTTTATTATGGAAACCTTATGGTGCATAAAACAACAGATTATACATAACAGGCCTCACCATATTTTGACTGATGGATATTTGTATTATTGATATCTTGATTTGATGATTTATTGTTCTCAACTACTGGAAATGTGCTAGTGACACTGTTCTTATTTTGTTTCAAGTTTATTGGCACTCCACATTGGATGGCTCCAGAAGTTATTCAGGAAAGTCGCTATGATGGAAAGGTATCTTATTCATTGAGCTGCATGGTTTGGTCTTCTTTAAGGTTTTGCGTTTAATGCTTAGCCTCTCTCTCTCTCTCTCTCTCTTTTTCCCTTTGATAGAACTGGGAATGAGTTATTTGCTTGCATTTTGACATTGATGTTTCTTGATCCATTGCTAGATAATCTGGTTGGAAATTGCATAAATTTTTATTAGAACTATTAATTTTTAAGCAGCAAGAAAGAAAACTAATAGTTTTCTATGGCTCCTAGGATCAATTAATAAAGTATCATTAATGTTTTATGTGGAACAGACCTCGGTTATATTGGGAAACAGAAAATATAGATTATCTTCCTATCAAGATATGTAGTACAATCCTTCTATCAAAAAAAAGATATGTAGTACAATCCTGAACTATGACACTTAAAGTTGGAGATCTTAGCACTTGGAGAATGAGGCTTTGTAATGAAAAGATCACGGCATGCTTTCTTCCACTGTTTTAATATGTTTGGGCCATTTAAATTGTAGATGCATGAGAATGACTAAAAGTTTGAAAGTTTGGAATTGCATGATGTAACTTAGATGGTAAAACAAATTTGGGAAAATCCAAAAGCAACAGAAATAGTTCGTAAAATCCCAAATTTCTGGAAAACCATTGGAAGATTCTGCCTTATCAGAATTTCCATGGAAAGTTCTTGCATAAATATTGTATGGATGACGTTAGTATGAATTATTGATTTGATTCTGATGGAAAATGGTTTAATTTCTTTGAAGCAGTATAGTTGTCCCTTGTCTAACTTTTGTGTTTTAAACATTTTGCTTCCAGGTGGATTTGTGGGCACTTGGTATATCTGCAATTGAAATGGCAGAGGTATTCTTATTATTTCTGTCACTGGCTTTGCAGCTCTCAGCAAAAGCTTTAATGGGCAATGCATCTTATTCATTTTCTTTTCACTTCTAAAATATGGCATTTAGACTTGTTGAGTTATTTGAATTTAATATATTAGCTTGCCGAGTAATTTTTTAATAAATATTTGTTATTAGTTCATAATTTTAGGACTGAGAAGTCAAGTTACAATTTTTATGAGCAAAATAGGGGACACCCGTTTAATAGTTGTTTTGTAGCTCCAATTTTAGTAATTGAGTCTTGTGTACATTGAATGACTTTTGAGAAAGAAACATTAAAGGTGAATGAAATTGATAACAATCATTGAATCTGATTGAGTTCTTTGATCTTTTAGGGACTTCCTCCAAGAGCTGCTGTGCATCCAATGAGGGTAAGTAGTGCATGCATGATGCAAAGCATTTGAAGTTCGATTTGTTTTAAGCATTAGCGTACATGCATCTTGCCATAAACTCCCTCCGTATGAATAAGTTCTCCTTGAAAAATACATGATTAGTGATATGAGATAGAATTTCTTCAAAAACTAGCGACCCTGGGATTTGTCCTCTGACGTGGTACATATTAAAGCAATATATCGGTATCAGAGATTTGGTGTTGTCATAAACCCTGTTGGCTGAGCCATAAACTAGTGTCTTTCTACAATGTTTATATAATGTGAGTATGAATTTCACATGTCGCACTCTGTTACTGTTATATTTTGATTCAATTAGACGTCTTGGTTTTCTGAGGACATCTACACCCGGTATTGGGCATGTGGGTGTAGGATAAAACGTGAGAACTTGGGTTTTGTTTGTTTTGGTAGATATATCAACTGAAAATGAGTGTTTGAGCACTTGCGGGGGATGCATATACTCCCATTTGATGACATTTCTGTGATTGGCTCTTGTAGCATATGTAAAATATTTATTAAGTGTTTCTGGATCTCTATGCTTTTCTTTTTATTGTTGTTTTTTTTAATGATATCATATTGTACTATTCTCATTCAGTCTTTGGAAGATAACATCATTGGTGTTTGCAATAGGTTATCTTTATGATATCGAGAGAGCCAGCTCCAATGCTTGAGGACAAAGAAAAATGGTTAAGCTACTAGCAGCTTTTGAACATGAGTTAATTAAAACATCACTTCTCTGTTTTCTAACTTAGGTAGGTTTGACTTGCAGGTCTCTCGTCTTTCATGATTTTGTTGCTAAGAGCCTTACAAAGGATCCACGTCTACGCCCTACTGCATCTGAGATGCTGAAGGTATGGTAGTATAAGTTATATATAACCTTTTCTACCTCTATTAGAGTTATTTATACTCTTTGGAATTTTCATCTGTCTTTCGTATGCATTTACTACATATATCATAATGTGAAGGTGTTTTCCCTTTCGGTCTCAGATTAAGCATTTCAAATCTGTTTTATAAACTTGTCATCTGTTCTTGTGAGTGTTAAATCATCTAAGGACAACCTTATCCACATGCTCATGACATAAAGTTTTCCCTATGATCATTCAAGTCACATATAAAGCTTCAATGCTTAATACACTTTTATTATCTTCAGGGGTAGTTCAAAACTCTTATTTTCCGCATGTTGGCTGTTTGATTTCGTAGAATTTGAGAATCCTAACTGGTCCTTACAATGCTTGTGTGAGAAGTGTATTTCACATTGCACATTTCCCAGTCTGTACAAGCAAACATCTGTATGCATAGGATTTATTTAGGGGATTGGGTTCTCTATTCCTTTACTGGGCTTCATCTACCAATGCTCCCCGCATATTCCAGCTCTTGCTTTACTGTTGTTTTCCCCTCCTCCAAAATAGCCATACATAAATCTAAATCTTTTTGGTTTCGGCCCTTTTATGCACTAATAATACAGTTAGACTCAGATGCTTACTCAGTTTGATTTTTGCCCTTTGGTCTTGTACTTATGTTTCATTCTTTATTGTATAATAACGCTGCTTTGATTAAACACTTTATATGAGCACTTGCATAAGTTATATTAATGGCTGGAAATTTGAATCTATTGTCATTATCATCATTGATTTGATCTATAAGTAAAACCAGGTGATCTTGCATTTTTGTGTGTGCCGTAGGAATGATGATAGTGTAGAGTCTAGATATAGTTTGTAGTAAAGTTTGTCTAATAATAACGGAAGTTTCTGGTTTCTTTATTATTGTAGGCTAAAATGACTGTCAGAAGTTTAAATATGATCACTACATGTAAGAAACTGCATAGAGTTGAAATGAAGCATTTTTTAATAGTTAGGGGGAAAGGATTGTTTTAATATGCTTATTTAGTTATTTACACATTTCTTAATCACTTTCCTTTCCCTTTGGTTCTTTCACTTATTTACTTGTGTACTTCTTGGCTGAAATCGTTGTCTTTTAAAACTTAGCACAAATTCATTGTGAAATGCAAATGTGGAGCTTCTGTAATGTTGCCAAAGATTGAGAAGGCTAGGCAAGTAAGGGCTGCAATGGTTCAACAAGAACAAACTCTTGCTCCTGCCATTTCTGGACTAGATGTATGTATATTCTTCCTCGATCTGCAGTCAATCTCCTTTTTCTTTTTCTTTTTTTAAAAAAAACATGATCAACTAGTTGCGGACATGCATACATTCTGAGAGCTAGGCACACTAAGTAGTGTCATGGTTTGCGTGTTTATGCATCTCTTTTGGTTCTGACTGCTCTGAACTTGGAGCAGCCAGTGGTAGGTTCAAATCCGAATGATGATTATGGAGAAACTGTTCCATCAAGGCCTCAAAATATGGGTCTTCAAGTTGCAAATGAGGTTTCTGCATCTGGCACTTCGAAGCAGCAGCAGATGTTAGATGGTGTGGAAGTGACTGGTGAAGGTATGGAGTCCTTGTTTGCATGTCAAATCTAATAATATAAAGGAACTTCTGAGGTTTTCTTTTTTTTTAGTTGATATCTTAAATGGAGCAGACTGGAACTAAGACAATTGTACTGCTTTATTAGTTTGTGGATAAAATTTGTTGGTCGGATCGTTCTCTTTATTTGTGATCATAATATTATGTCGGACAGGGGAGTTTGGCACTGTAATAGTTCACAGTGAGGATGGATCTCGGAAGTCACTTTCTCAAACTGAACCCCACAGTGGTGAAGAAGTTTCAGCTGCTCTTGAACACTTTGAAAGCAAGTTGATTAATGGCACAGTTAGGCAGTTACCTGAATCACTGTACTTCCCTTCCTATACGCTTCTGAGTTCAATAAGTTCCAGTGCTTGCTTCTATGTGTGAATAAATTTTATTAATGTGTGTATATCACTGAAGTAGTGAAGTCGTTCCTCTATTTGTCAACTCAAGCATCCAATTCATTGGGCATGTTTTCTAGGTTGGATAACAGAAAGGGTGCTTCAGCAAACAACAATACCATGGAAGAATCAAACATAATGACTCAGGGATCTTCTCCTTCAATATTGGCCCTTGGTGACCAGAAACTGAGGTCAGACAGTGTTCCACATGCAAGGACGAAAGATAGCAGTGATATCAGTAGTAGCACATTGAAGAACGAAACCGTCAGCAACAAAAAGGCCTTTGCTTTACAAGATAAGGTTATTCCCATTCTGTAATCTATATCCACTTAAATCAATTAATGAGCGGTGTCTAATTCTCTAAGGAAGTAAGGTCAGAACTTTACTGATTTCAGTGGAGTTCGAATGAAATTAGGAATCTTCAATGGTTGTGCTTCTGAGAATTGCAGCCCTTCTTTTGAAAGTTTAGCGTGCTTGAATTTAGCTTGAGGAGCTTGTGGTTTTTCACCTTGATATCTGTCAAGCTTGCTTTCTGTTTGATCGCTTCCTGTTATCCATCACTACAAATGGTTCATGTACTCCCATATTATTCCTTTTGCTGTGACTGCAGCTGAGATTTGTTGTCTTGTCAATTGTTTTGCAGCTCTTTTCTATATATGCAGCCGGTAATACAGTACCTATTCCATTCTTGAGGGCATCAGATATATCCCCAATTGCCCTTTTATCAGACAATATCCTCGGAGGTATGAAGCAAGATAGTACCGGAACCGTGGCAGTGGAAGCACTGCAGGAACTTTTTGCAGGTGATGGGCAACCGAAAAAGGGTCGAAGAACACAAAATGAGGTCACTTCCTATCTCCCTCCTTATCTCGATTCTTCTCCTATATCGGTTTGTGAATAGTTTACCAGTTTAAAATTCTATAGGTTCCTCTTCCTCCTAGTGTTTATCAAAGGCTCACTTCAAGTTCTACTCTAATGAATCTGGCACAGGCTCTAGCTTACCACAAAATGTAAGAACTAATAAATTTTACGAATCATCAGCTACCATTTATTTTGTTCTTTCTTACAGCATTTGTCTCGGATTCATTTCAGGTGCTACGAGGAGATGCCACTTCAAGAATTGCAGGCAACTCAGGAGCAGCAAACCATTCAAAACCTATGCGACACACTGCGAACCATTCTCCGGTTATAGGGTAGTCGAATGCTACATTTCTTTTTTTGTTGTTGTATGTTATTTTTCTTATCCCCTTTTGCTCAATGATTATGTGGGGTCCTGTATCATATACAAGGTTACATGGTGGAAAAAAATGAAATGTAATCGGAAATTTCTCGTATACATTTCCATCATCAGTGATAATGAACAATGTTTAATGTTGTAATCTCCTTTTTGAGTTCTGCGCTGGATTGACAGTTGATAAATCAAAGCTTTAAAGTGTATATAACCTTTTATTCCTTTGGTTCAGGGAACATTTGGCGGCCAGCCAATCGAACTCGAGTTCAAGCACAAATAACAAGTATAGAAAAACATGCTCAGTTTTTACAAAAAAACAAGCTCGAGCAGACTTCATTCATTCAAAATTTGGCTTCCAAGTTGAGAAGATACTTTCAGAAGGCATAAAATGAAATGAACTATACGAATCAGAATTGCATCTATGATATTCTTACCGATTCCAACATAGTGCCATGTTCCGATATATCTGCGGTTTCCACTAGTGTGCGGTATTCCCTTTCCGTTATCGATCTTATGCCATTTGGATCAGGGACTGTGTCTACTTCTGTTTCTTCTTCTTCTTCTTCTTCAATACCTTCCCTCGGAGGGCAGCCCCGTGTACACGAAACTATCCATTGGTCTATGACCCCACAGTCAATTGCATACTTAAGTGTGTGTTCCAAGTATCCTTTATTAGTAAGCTGATCTGGCTGAACCGTTAACATTCTCAGGAGGGCTGAAAATTTGTTCCCCAAAAACAAAAAGATGAGTAAGCTGGAGTTCGAACACCAAATAACCATGTTTCATATTTAAGAATTTATACCCCTGTTCCCATTATCCAAATATGTGTCGGACATGAATTTAAAGTTTCAGATATAAATGCTTTAGGGAAGATAAAAATAGTTGACCAAGTTAACTGCCACAACCCGACCCAGTCTGATGGACCGCATCTGAGATCATAAGTCGAAATTGTCCTATTTGGATGGTAGATCAATTGTTATGCGTTCTGTAGAGTGCACTCATTCGTATGTGATGTTTCAGGTTCGAATCTGTGAGGTCCACCTGTGTGACAAAACTTTGAGGGGGCTAATGGATAACTAGAGAGGACAACTTCAGGTTGGGTTGTGACACCAACTCTCCGGTTTGTCCCTAAAAAACAATATGTTTTGAATAGAAAAGGTATGATTTGTAAGGTGCCAAGCTCGAAAGGCACCCAAAATAGTTGTTCCAAAGTATCATGTACACTTTCATGTTAGCATAAGCAGTAATAGGTAGATCCACATGCCCGTACCTGCAGCGATGCCATCTCCAGATGCCGACATATCTTGCGAGAAGGGGGTTAAGGGGGCATCCTCCATCCCATGCACTGCACCATTTTGCTCTTTAGTGTAATAGTGTATCTTGGAAGTCCCATTTGTTACAAACAAAGTCTTGAGATTCTCATGCCAAAGTGGTGCAACCACTTCATGATCATAATGGACAAATTTCGAGCTCGCATTGTTCTTGGTGTCAAATTCTTCCGTAGGCTTTATTCCACACAAAAACTCCAGTTCTTGCTTAGTAACCTCAATAACATTAGCAAGGTTCCATGCTTCTTTTATGAACATTTTGGTCTCTTCATCGGACCGCCAAAGTGGCAGTGGAAGGTTTACATCGTAGAAAATAACGCCTCCTAATTTCTTGGAAATCTTGATAGCTCTCAACGTAGTTGATCTCATGTTATGATCGAGAAGAGAATGTGTGCTGAAGTAGAACATTTTCGCCTACAAGGAGGTTAAATAAGTCTGTAACTTCTAGGACTAATACAGCTTTCTTAAATACAAAACAAACATTTGCATTGACTACTTTTTGCTTATTTACTGAAATCTATTACCGCTTTAAGCACGTCGATATTGATCTCGGATTTGGAAAGAGAATCCTCGGCGCATGATTTAAGATTAGTCATTCTCAGGCGACCTCTCTTGCTAACTTTCATCTGTGACATAGCTGTTGGCCTTTTACTATCAATTTGAACCGATCGTGTTTGAACGTTGTTCACATTTAAGTACCATAGCATGGCCTGACCATAGTCATCATCACCGAGCTTTCCCATGAAGGCTACTTTACCACCCAGCTTAGCAAGAGCAAGAGCGACACTGCCAGCGCAACTCCCGGGTGCCCTAACGAATTTTTCAGGTGCCCATCGTGCTTCTTTCATTCTCTCATGAATTTCGTAATCTACAAGTCTGTTGGCTGGCCTTCCGGAAGGAACAAAGGCATGCTGTGCAGCTCCGAAGCAACAAACGAGCGGAGGCCATCCGTAGGTGAAACTAATATCTTCACCTTCATCTATGCTCAATTCAAGGTCTTCCTCACTCTCATCACCCACATTTGGCACTAGAGCCGAATCCTCCATGTCACTAATTTCAGTTTCACTTTGGTGCACTTCTTTATCATCACCCTTCTTCGTTGTCCTTCTCCTCCTCACCTTTTTCTCTGGTTTTGTTTCCTTGGTAGTAGTAGAAGCCGATGGCACTATGAATAATAAAAAAATATCAATTTTTGTAATAATTAACTTAAGAAAATACGATGAAGCAAGCCATCGAAGAAATTCCAAGGTTATACCTTTCTTTCTAGTCCTCCTGGAGGTTTTATTTTTATCTTCACTTGAAGCAGACGCGCTTTCCTTGTTATCAGAACCAGTTTCATCGAGCACTTCGTCTTTTGCTTTCTTCCTACTTCGTGTTGCAGTCCGTCGAGTAGTTCCCAAAGTCTTCTTCTCAACAACTGCTCTGTTTTCACTAGGTTCCTCTTGAGAAAAAATGTCAGCATTTTTCTTGGCCGAGAGACAGCACTTGTACCGCAAGCAGAAATCCAGAGGACGCACCGGGAAACAAATTGGATTCGACTTCCACCTGCATAATCAGAAAGAAGAATTGAAGACTGAAAAATCTGCATAGCGAAGCATAGAAAGAATCACCCTCTGATTTACAAGCAATCCGCGACAAAACCCTAGTTAACCTGTAATCTTACAGAGTAAAGGGATTTACCATACATTCCGACATTAAATTCCACCGACAGCAACTTTCCCACGCCCCAAACACCAGATAAGAAGGCTAAAAACACGCATCAAATTTAAATTTAACACATACCAAAGAATTAAATTCTAAGGCAAATCAAGAAAAACACTTCGAATTTCATTCAACGTTCTGATAAAAAAGAAGAAGGTAACGCCAAGTTCCACAATTCAGCACTAAATAGCACATTAAGGAAATCATAAAAAAAGGGTCTTTAGCTAACACGCGAGGAAGGACGAAAAGAAAATATCTTTGGAACAAAAAATAGCAAAGAAAATATGAAATCTCCCATGAAATGCGAACGATAACAGTTGCAAAACGAAATGAAAAGAGAGAAAGAAAGAACCAACCTGGAAAGTGAGTGAAAAGGAGGGAAAGAAAGGGATGCCATTGTTATCTCTCCTAAATTGAAGCTAAACAAAGCATGTAAAATAGAGGGAACGTTGTTTGTTGTTGGGGGTTTAAGATTGGAAATGAAAGAAAGGATTGAGGGAACTCATGCTCCAGGGTTTTTAATTTTACACGCGCTTTCCCCATATATATTTCACATTTAATCTTGAAAGAAATAGGGTCTACACAATGGTCTCTTGTTTATTGGTAGTTGATCTATAAGATATTTTATTAAATTTTTTTATTATTAAAAATTAAAAAATTGTCATTTAACAGTTTCTATGTTTTAAGCTAATTTTTTTTAAAATAAAGGACAATTTGAGTTAGACGTTAACTTGTTGACTAAGATGTGATAATTATTTGAGATTTTGGGATCAAATTTTATGATATCGTAGTCAACATGTTAACATTCAACTTACTCTCGTTAGGGATAATCGAAATACCCGAACTATACTGGTTTCGACCTAACCCGACTTTATAGGGGTAATTTTTTTTTTGAAATTTTGGGGTTCAGACAAAGTCAAGTTTAAGGTGAAAAATCATCGACCCTACCCGATTATATATATATATATATATATATATATATATATATATATATATATATTAAATATAATGTTTATATATATATATATATTAAGATTTTAAATATTCTTAGTTTTGTAATGTTAAATATATTATTTAATTATTATAAATATAATAAATTATTATAAATATTTTATTTTAATAATTTAAAAATAATAAATGATTATAAATATATTATTATAAAAAATATATTTGAATTATGTTAAAGTATTAATATATTCGAAATGAGTTGGTAGGGATCAAGGTTTTTTATTTAAAAATTAGGGTGGGTTCGGGGGCGAGAGAAAAGCTAAAAATTATCAAGACAATGTGGGTAAGGTATAAGCGATAGATTTCGAGGAGGCCAAAAAATCATCCCACCCCGTGCCCATCTCTAATTGTCGTCAAACTTTTAACTAGAAAATGATGAGTTTGAAACATGTGGATAGTTGAGTGGTCATTCTGTAAATTTTAATAGTTAAAGGACTTAACATGATAATATCTTATAATTAAATGATCATTTTATAACTTTTAATAATAGCAAGACTTAATAAAATAATACTTTATATTCAGGGTCTATTTGTATACTTTATCCCAAAGAAATAAAATTAAATAATAAATTTCATCTATTAATTTTCTTCACTCCTATTTTAATTATTAAATTTTAAAATAATAAATTCAATCATTAATTTTTAAGAATAATAAAATATAAGAAATTATTCAAAGAAATGTTAAAGGGATAAAATGATTGAGATCAATTTAACAGGTTTATTGTTTGTTTATCAATTAGTTTAACTTAACAAAGAAAACTAAAAGTTGAAGTATCCCAGCACTTGGATTCATTAAAGTCATCACTTCTATTTCTTCTACGACGAATGTGCAGGCAAGGAACTCTTGTATAATTTATTTTTGTATTTAGTTGGTGAAATTGAAAGATTTTGCTTTCTATAAACATGGGTATTTCTATCTTTGATCTCATTTCTTCAATTTGTAGCTGCAGTTTGATGCTGGCAATAGAGGCTGTTGAAGAAACTTGTTGATATATGAATCTTTTCAAGAAGCTTTTGCCCACCAAACATGGGATTTTTGGTGCCCAAAAGCGTTGCAAAGGTAAATATCAAATTCAGGTTTTGGATGTGTTTATTGTACTGATTCACTAGGGATTCTTCGTATTGTTCGAAACTTGATGCTAATGTTTAGGTTTCCCTGGATTTACTTGTGGTAGTTAGTTTCAGAATGTTAACTTTCTTGCATTAGTTATTTGAATTGGCGATTGGTTTAAATGGAAAAGAAACTCGAATCTGTTGATTCTATAGAAATTAATCGCTGTTTGGTAGTAATTTTTGTTAACATTTACTGCAGCGTCTTTCTCTGCATTTCTGCATTCGGCCCCGGATCACTCGGTCCGAGTTCATTCTCCGGACCAGGAAGTGGTGCTTGCTCTAGGAAGCAATGTTGGTGACAGACTTGATAATTTCAATCAAGCCTTGCAGTTGATGAGGAAATCGGGTATCGATATCATAAGACATGGTTGTTTATACGAGACAGCACCTGACTATGTCTCCGATCAGCCTTGATTTCTAAAGTCTGCTGTTAGAGCTGTTACGAAGCTAGGTCCTCATGAACTTTTGGGTGTTCTTTAGACAATTGAGCGGAACATGGGTCGTACCGGTGGAATAAGGTATGGTCCAAGGCCAATTGATCTAGACATCTTGTTTTATGGAAAGTACCGAATTGGTTCTGATACACTTACAGTCCCCCATGAGAAAATTTGGGAGCGACCGTTTGTAATGGCGCCATTGATGGATTTACTAGGATCGGTTATCGACAGTGATACCGTTGCTTGTTGGAATTCTTTTTCAACAGATTCAGATGGACTATTTGGTTTATGGGAGAAATTGGGTACTGAATCCCTCATTGGAAAGGAAGGGATGAAGAGGGTACCGATTAGGAATCACTTGTGGGATTGGTCAGAGAAAACCTCGGTCATGGGTGTTCTCAATCTGACTCCAGATAGTTTTAGTGATGGTGGAAAGTTTGTATCGGTGGAGACTGCATTTTCTCGTGTCCGTTCGATGATTTCAGAGGGAGCAGAATATAGTAGATATCGGAGCACAGTCTACACGACCGATGGCCTCTAGGATATCCGTGGAAGAAGAATTAGATAGGTTAATCCCTGTCTTAGAATCTGTTCTTGGAATGCACGAGATGGAGGGGAAGCTCGTATCCGTAGACACTTTCTATTCGGATGTTGCTGCACAGGCAGTAAATAAAGGAGCTCATATTATAAATGATGTATCTGCCGGGCAGTTAGATACTAACATGCATAAGATGGTTGTAACACCCCAACCCGTATCCGACCCGGATACGAATCCGAGGTGTCACATTGACCTTTTAAAACATGTACTTGTATAAAATAGTGAGTAATTTAAAACTTTTATAACATATAAATGACTAATTTACATAAAAGACATTTTCATTATTACAAAACCAATCAGAGCGTATATATTTCACTTATTTATTTACATATAACTATTCGAAACATTTATAAAACTGTTCATAGCTTAAACAATATATTCTTTTGAAAACATGCCAACTAGAACTTTATATACTAAAATACATATTATTCACATCTTTTCTGATCTGACCTTTAGTAAGGAGAACTGACATGTCTTGCTCCACATTGCTCTTTACTCTTCTCGAAACCTACATGTAAATCACTTACACGCTAAGTCAAAGACTTAGTGAGGCATATAAACATATAAGGTAAACGGTAACTAATAATCATACCTATTCACATCTTTTCTGATCTGACCTTTAGTAAGGAGAACTAACATGTCTTGCTCCACATTGCTCTTTACTCTTCTCGAAACCTACGTGTAAATCACTTACACGCTAAGTCAAAGACTTAGTGAGGCATATAAACATATAAGGTAAACGGTAACTAATAATCATACCTAAACAATTACTACTATCATTTCATACCACTCATACTTTTACATGTAACAAATATATCCATACATATATGTCATTATCATTCATATCTTTTATCTCATGTTCCTATGATCTCTTATGTCCATATCATATAACATATACCATAACCAATTGCACATATACATATCATGTCATATAAACTATATATATATATACTATCATTGATTCCTTTCATCATATGGTCTTATAAGTTACCATTTGTACAATCAATATCACACATGAAATTCCACAAGGAAACAAACATATTATCATATCACTTTATTAATATTATCTATTTAATAGCCCATGATACACATGTGAGAACTAAATATATGCGAGTACATAGAGGTTGTGCACTAATGCTGTCACCACAGCTCATATAATTGCACCGAAGTGTCACATATAATTGCATCGGAGTGCCGCGTAGAATTGCACCGTGGTGCCATATAATAATGTCCATAAGGACCACATATCATTCCTTAAGAATCGTATACATATACTAGGGATCAAGTAGGTGTCTCACCAGACTTCACACATGTTCCAAATAATACATATATGTCCCGAAGAACCACATATCATTCCTTAAGAATCATATAAACATGCCAAGGATCAAGTATGTGTCTCACCAGACTTCACACATGTTCCAAAGAATACATATATGTCCCGAAGGACCACATAGACCCTCGACTCTTGGCATGCCAACTATACCCCTAGCTCTCATGACACATAACATGGGCATTATCTTTTATATCCTTTTACATATTCATGTAACCATATCATATATTCATATAAGCTTATGGTTTCATTCACATATACATGTAATCACGTAGTTCATATCAATTCTCATATGAGTTCATATTCATATAAACATAGGATTCACCCTCATGTATCACATATACTTTCTCTTTCATATGGCTCATAACATTTCTCATGTGTTCATATGACATGTAAATCATTGTCATCTTATCATGTTATCACATAAACATATACTCATGCACACATATAAATCATAACAAATACATACTTCTATGAATTCATGTTTTTCACTATTGGAAATAGACTTATCGCAAGTCTTATTTTCCATTGAACCTCATATACTAAATAATGTGCACTCACCTTAGCCTTGTTTGCTTTGAATCAATCTTAATCCTTAGATTGTTCCGGAACAAGCTTTATTCTATATCTACATCATAATAATACATTGATACATATCAGTATACTAATTGATATCTTCTAAATTGTCACTTCTTAGGCTAAAAGAAAAGCTCATTTCATCTTTTAATGAAGGTATGCATCGATGCACTGCACAGTGTATCGATGCATTCCCTATCGGTGCATCGAAATGCATCGATGCACTACCTGTGCATCGGTGCATAAAATACATTCGATGTTTGTTTATTACTGGGATGCATCGATGCATGCCTTATGCATCGATGCACCAATTGCATTCGATGTTTTTAGATTAAAAGAGTGCATCGATGCACTACCTGTGCATCGATACACCTTCAAACAATTTCTGGGTTTTAACCTTGATGCATCGGTGCACTATGAATATGCATCGATGCACTCTGCCCAGAATCCTCTTT